AGCCTTCCTCTGTCTCTGGGACAGGCTGCAGAGTCAGGGTCAGGGTGTCCTCCGTCTGCGCCTCCTCCTCCTCCTCCTCCTCCTCGACATCTTCCCTGGGGACCTCCTGCCGGCTATGCTGCACCGGTGTGTGCAAGCCTGTCTGCATGAGCACCGGTGCAGACATTGGTTCCTGGCCTCCCAGGATGTGGTCCAGTTCCTCATAATAGGTGCAGTGCACTGGGGCTGCACCTGAAGCCGAGCTCTGCTCTTGGGCCTTCATGTACCCCTGGCAAAGTTCTTTTACTTTTGCCCGGACTTGTTGTAGTGTCCTGGGATGGTGCCCTTTATCGGCCAGCCCCTGAGCCATGCGGCAATAGATGTTTGCGTTCCTGCACCGGGTGTGCACGGCCTGGACTGCTTCCTCCTCCCCCCACAGTTCTAACAGTGTCAGGACCTCTGTCCCTGACCAAGCTGGGGCTCTCTTTTTCTCACCCGAGAGAACTTGGGCTGGCTCCCTCAAAGCTCCTTGGGGGCCTCGTGGCGCTGGAGCTGCACACATGACCACATGCAGGTTACGCTGGGAGAGCTCTGGGCTGACAGGATCTCTCTGTGGCCAGCTTCCTGCCACAATGCCTGCCAGGGATGTCTGTGCCTTTAAAACATGGCTACAGACAGGACCAAGAAGAGGTTTTTCCTAAAGAAGGACTCTCCAGCAGGGGGCTTCCCTGGAGGTCTCCTTCTGTCGACAAAGGAAACCCCTGCGTCCAGACTGCCCTTTTTGTGGACAGAACTCTGTCGACAAAGACGTTAAGCCTCGTAAAATGAGGTTTACCAGTGTTGACAAAACTGCTGAGTTCTGTCGACGTTATGTCGACAGAACTCAGCGGTAGTGTAGACGCAGGTATAGTTTTGTCGAAAAAAGTGGACTTTTGTTGACATAACTCTGTAGTCTAGACGTACCCTTAGTCTGAGGCAGGTTCCGTTAATATGGACATGCTACCTTGACTTAGAGCCCTGGGAAGCGCTGGGAAGCGCAGTTCATTCATTTGAATTACTCTGGGGAGTAGTTATTTCAAAATAGAGGCACTGGAGCGTCCACACTACCGCTATTTCTAAATAACTGTTTTGAAATAAGCATTATTCCCTGAGGAAAGCAGGAGTACAGATTCCGAAATAACCAGTACTTTGTTTCAAAATAACAGCGTGTGGACGCTCTGCTTATTAATTTTACCTTAGAAATGTTATTTCGAAATAAAACCCCAGTGTGAACCAGGACCAAGGAGCCTCCTTTCTTTATCCTACATAGGATTGTTTGGCTGTGAAATGTACGAATGCCTTTATAGCTCGGATAAAAATTCAGATTTTTGAAGGATTTATCCATTGAACGTTTGGTTGTTCACCCATCGCTAACCCCAGAACAAATGACTGCAATTTCCTTGCAGTCCAACCTTGGGTCCTGACCCTTGCAAGCAAATGTTCCAATTCCGTGAGGTCCTATTCATTTCAGGGAGGACTTAGTGTGGCTGCAGAAGTTTGTGCTGGAGGAAGTGGGCCCTAGAACTTAACTAGTAGTAGAGCTGCTTTCAGATAAGTATATTCATTTATTAGATTAATGTAGCAATGCCAGGGAGAAGAAAACTTATCTGTAATTTTGCTTTGAAGTTGAAAGTTTAGCAGAGCTATACAGTAGGTTTACTATTTGGAGAGACAACCATCTCTCTCTCTCTTTACAAGGACAAACGTATCTGAACACTAGGGACAGGCCAAGGCATAGAAGTGGCTACCAAAATAATAAACTAGTAAAAGGGGATACTTATCTAGGCTCCAAAAAGATCTAATTTGAAATAGCAACTGCATGCCCTTTTATCTGTAAGCACAATATCAGAGTAGCTCTCTGCAGTGTTTGATTATCAGGGACTGGAGTTATTTTATCTTTCGTACTTCTCTCTCCCCGTGACCTTATGTGATCACTGGTAAGTACTTGTTTTCAAAGGAAAATGTTGTTACACATTAAGTTGGCGGTGAAGACGTTTTAGAATC